ATTAACTACAGATCGGCTCCGGCATACAAACTGTCGAAATACCTGAAGACCATACTAAAGAACAAACTAGAGTTATGGATATTTTATTTAGAATATTATTATTATGGATATTTTATTTAGAATATTACTCGACACAACGGAAAAGAAAATCGCAAAAGAAAATTATCAATACTTTGAAGATTACGACAAACCAAAATTATTTCCGATTTAACAACAAAATATACAGACAAATAAATGGACTAGGAATGGGTAACCCAACATCGGCTATACTCATGGAGGTGTTCATTCAAAGCCTAGAGGAGAAATATATGGAGCATCTCACAACAAATTTAGGGGTCTGCTTATACGCTAGATATATGGACGACATAATATGCATAATAACGGGGGACAAAGAGGAGCAGCTACTAGACTACCTTAATGAACAACACAAAAATATAGCATTCACGATGGATATGGAAGAGAAAGGAAAACTCAGTTATTTGGATCTAAAGATTAAAATAAACAAGACCACCAACAGACTGGAATACGAGATATATAGAAAGCCCACAGCGACCGACGCAGTAATACATGAAACCTCTAACCACCCACAACAACACAAAAACGCAGCANCTTAATGAACAACACAAAAATATAGCATTCACGATGGATATGGAAGAGAAAGGAAAACTCAGTTATTTGGATCTAAAGATTAAAATAAACAAGACCACCAACAGACTGGAATACGAGATATATAGAAAGCCCACAGCGACCGACGCAGTAATACATGAAACCTCTAACCACCCACAACAACACAAAAACGCAGCATTTAGACAATTATTAACTAGACTTGAGCGAACCCCATTAACTAAGGAAGCACACAGGAGAGAGCTAGACACAATATATGCTATTGCCAAAAACAATGGGTACAAAAAAGATCTGGTGGACAAAATTAGGAAGGAATCGAAACGAAAAAGTAGGGACAAGAAAGAAAACAACGATACGACTTGGGCAGTGTTACTTACACGGGTAAAATGACATTCAAACTGGCCAAGGTTTACCAAAAATTCAAGATTCGTACATCGTTCAGAACCAGGAACAACGTCGGAAGGATACTGAACAACAGCACAAACGAAGAGGACACTCTAGATAAGCAGGGTGTATACAAATTAACGTGTGAATGCAAGTGTAGCTACATAGGGCAAACTGGCCGTAAGATTAAAAAAAGATTCCGAGAACATATAAGAGACTACAATAAGAGGACACAAAAACCAAGCGTCACACCAGAATCAAACTTCGCAAATCATATGTTCGAAAATAAATGTACACCAATGAAAATTAATAAGGCAGCCAAACTCCTCCATGTACAGCATAAAGGACGGCGTTTGAACATATTGGAAAACATGGAGATATACAAGCAGAAAACATTTCAAGGGAGAATTATAAACGAACAAACAAACACCGTATCCGATGTAATATTCGACCCACTCAAGATGCTGTTCGAAAAATATGAGAAGACCCCTGAAAAAAACCCCAACGCGAAGATACATACCTACGCCGCAGAGATCAAGAAAATGAAAATAACGGATTTCTATCTGCCGCACAAGCAAGCAACCTAATACCTGCTAAATAACGGAACATAAACCGACCCAACCACGAAAACCAAAAAAAATAAAAATAACGGATGGGTATGCATGACCTAATGACAGTTAAAACAGATAGTAGCACGAATACATAAAAAGCGGAAGGAAACACGAACTATCCAGAACGAAAAATGACACTGAAGATAGCACAACGCCGAAACCGGTTTGTCTCCAAACCAAATTTGACAAGCGATGACGGAAAATCGTTCCACAATACATCATACTCCTACCCTATCGTAAACACAAACAATCAAAAAGAAGAAAAAAATATTTCTTTTTATAGAGAACTTTGATGTGTGTATGTGTAATTTTTTTTTTAATTTTTTNTATACAAATTAACGTGTGAATGCAAGTGCAGCTACATAGGGCAAACTGGCCTTAAGATTAAAACAAGATTCCGAGAACATATAAGAGACTACAATAAGATGACACAAAAACAAAGCGTCACACCAGAATCAAACTTCGCAAATCATATGTTCGAAAATAAATGTACACCAAAGAAAGTTAATAAGGCAGCCAAACTCCTCCANGCATAAAGGACGGCGTTTGAACATATTGGAAAACATGGAGATATACAAGCAGAAAACATTTCAAGGGAGAATTATAAACGAACAAACAAACACCGTATCCGATGTAATATTCGACCCACTCAAGATGCTGTTCGAAAAATATGAGAAGACCCCTGAAAAAAACCCCAACGCGAAGATACATACCTACGCCGCAGAGATCAAGAAAATGAAAATAACGGATTTCTATCTGCCGCACAAGCAAGCAACCTAATACCTGCTAAATAACGGAACATAAACCGACCCAACCACGAAAACCAAAAAAAATAAAAATAACGGATGGGTATGCATGACCTAATGACAGTTAAAACAGATAGTAGCACGAATACATAAAAAGCGGAAGGAAACACGAACTATCCAGAACGAAAAATGACACTGAAGATAGCACAACGCCGAAACCGGTTTGTCTCCAAACCAAATTTGACAAGCGATGACGGAAAATCGTTCCACAATACATCATACTCCTACCCTGTCGTAAACACAAACAATCAAAAAGAAGAAAAAAATATTTCTTTTTATAGAGAACTTTGATGTGTGTATGTGTAATTTTTTTTTTAATTTTTTCCTCTCCCCGTTCTCGACATATTTGGAAAACTGTTAAACCGGTTTGTTTTTGTGCTATAAAGTTTTTGAAAATGTATTAATCCACCTCAAATTTCGTACTTATTTGTTACTTATGTTTATGCATCAACCCTAAAATTTTGAAACAAATCAAACCCATGAAGTGTGAGCCCCATATACATATTTATTACTCGTAAAAAGTTTTGAAGAGGAAGTTAAGCGTTGAGTCTGGGGAATTGTTCAGACTCTTGAAATACTTTAAATTTGTAAAAAGTCAAACTCTTGGGTAGTCAGGAGCCCAATCGGAACTACTGATCTAGCGACTAATATGTACATATCGTCGTCTCAGAAAACGGATGTCGAATGTTACAAAACACGGTTTTGAGAAAATTGACTTTGAAGTTTAAGGTCGAATTAATCCGAAACTGTACGGTAGATTTTTGTAACTTTTGAAGGAGACGTAGTTGGTGTTATTAGTTTTGATTTCCCATATTTTTACATTTAATATCTCTTAACGTTAATGAGAAAATTTACTTTTCATTCCGTATACATTTGTCGTAAGTAGCGTTTACTCACCACTTTGTTTTGTCCACAGAACATACGACAATAGTAAAGTATCTATTTCAACGACGATGGTATAATTTGATGAAAAAAACAGACATATTTATTAAATAATGATTACTTATTAGAAAAAACATAACAAAAACATAATCATGTATTTAATAAAAAAAATCTGTACATCTCTTATGCTGTAAATATGTTACGAACATACGTTTTCTTTATATAAAAACAAAAAACAATACTTAAATTCAGTCTTTTGTACATTTTTATCTCTTTCATTTCATTGGAGACTCAGTGCAAGCTAAAATTTAAAAATTTAAAATTTTAAAATTAGTTACTTAGTTTAATTTTCAATTTTAATTGTATCGTTATAGTAGAGGACCATCCAATTGTCGTAAGTTCAAAGTTTTGCGATACATACGACAAATGTTTTATGATTAAAAAAAGATTACATTTGTATGGGAATTTGTCGTATGTGCCACATACGACAAACGTTTTATGATTAAAAAAAAGGTACGTTTGTATGGGAATTTGTCGTATGTGACGCATTTTCAGCACATACAACAAAAGGCATACCCAATCATTAATATTATGTAACATACGACAAAACGAAATATCTCAAAAACTAATGGAGATATAAAAAAATGGATTGCAGAAATCGAAAGAGCATGTCCAACTTAGTAAATCTGCATCAAAATCCCAAAATCGTGATTTTGCACATTCGTCATCCGTTTTCTGAGGCGACGATATGTATAAGTACCAAAGTCATTCTATACAATAGGTCTTATGAATAAAAAATAAGCAATTGCTTTTTTAAAAATTTCATACCTCTTAAATTTTTTTGAAAAATTCGAGCAAAAGGTCTGAAATTTTAATAAAAAGCAATTGCTTAATTTTTATTCATAAGACCCAATGTCGACTGAGAACTTTTTGCTGATATTAGTAGCATTGACGTACCTGATAATTATTGAAACTTTCAAAAACTATCAGCTTTTTGCGTTCGCGTACGTAAACAACTTGCAAGGTAAGGAAAATTGAGAGAGCAAAGCGACTTTTTATTTTGAGGGTAAGCTGCTAGTTTCTGCTGCAAAAATTTTTGCCAGCAAGAAAACAACGGATCAAAAACAGCTGGTTGGAATCTATGCAAATCACAATATTTGGGAGTTAAAAATGATGAAACGCGACTAATTAAAATTGTAAGAAGTATGTAATTGTTCGTATAACCAATAAACTGTGTCAGGATAACACTTTAGGATCAGGTTTGTTACGTTTTAAATTTACACTTTTGAGTGTAAACAAAAATTCTATTAGCTCTTCATCTAACTTGCAAGTTTCTGCAAATTTTCTGACAGCATACTATTGTGGATATTTTTCTCTTGAGAGAGAACAGATTACATTTCACCGGAATTTTGCTGTTTGATGGTTTTTACTGTAGATTTATTCTTACTTATTGTTTATATGTTCCATAGTGAGTGCGTAGAATGTTTAAGCTATTCACATTGTTCAATGGCATTTTGCCCAATATTACAGGGAAGTTATTTGAAAAAGATTAGTCCCAATTAGCCTTGGAATTGAGAATGTTGATTACCTTTAAAGTGATAAACAATTGAATGGAAACTACTTAACTTACGAAACTTAGATCGTAGTCCATCGATAGCGGCTGTTAATAAAGCTTGGCTAACACAACACATACCTGCCTGGTCACATTTAGGTGGATTGAAAAAGAGTCCCGGCTTGAGAGGATTCTCCTCTTCGTCATGAACTTCGATCATTAGCCACCCAATTTGGATGGGTTGCTGACGGTTTTGCTGCTGCTGGCGTTCAACGCTCTCCCAAATGTAGATTGCGCGTTTAATATCAATTTCAACCCAGCCAGTTTTGGAAATGTTCATCATTGTGGTGTTGCAAATGTGCTTCTTACGCTCTGCAACAAAAGGCAAAGTTAGATGTAGGAATTCTTATATGAACATATATTTACACATACTCTTGTGGCCAGCTGATTACGTTAAGTGATAATTTTTTTACCAGTTTTGGCCATTTTTATTTTGTTTATTTAATGATTAATATTTTTTTTATAAAAGTCTAGCATATTATATAACCGGCACCATATAAATCCACATTTCAAACTTTGTACACAAATTATAAAAATTCAACAAACCTTATGAATTACACCCAAAAATATCAAATTTTTATTCAGAGTGTTAGGTATGCAGTTTTTTAACCCATTACATTTTAGCAAGATATAGTGCAAATTTCAAGACGCTAAAAAATCGCGTTGATTTCACAAGAAATTGTCGAGCATACGAGCCGAGCAAGTTTAAAATTTTTGGATCCAATTGTTAAATTTTTATAACTTTTGTACAAATTTTGATATGCGGATTTATGTATATGGTGCTGGATATATGATATGCCAGACTTTCATAAATAATAATAAACATTAAATAAACAAAAGAAAAATAGCAAAAACTGGTCCAAATGTCACTTAACTTAATAAGTTGACCACAAGTGTATGTATATTTGTTCATTTACAAATACTTTCGCTTTTTATGTAAGTGTAAGTAAAAAGTGATGTCGTGAAATACGAACACGTATGTATGCAGGTTCTTATTTACATATATAAGTGTGGCCTAAACCATAGCACTTCGAGAAAATCAAGATATAAATTAATTTATTTTGGAACGAATTTCCGTCATCCCTTGTCAAGTTTGGTTTGCAGACAAACCGGTTTCGGCGTTGTGCCATCTTCAGTGTCATTTTTCGTTCTGTCTGGTTCGAGATTTGTCCCTAATTTATGTTCATTTATCTTAGGTAATGTGATTTTCGTCGATGATTAATTACTAGATATGCCATGGTGCCCATTTTTTGAAGCAGGTAATAGGTTCATCTTCGCTGTTTCGATATTAACATGCATTATGTTGTCGCTGTATGGTTTTTGCCTGCAGGTAGGTAAAAGTCAGTGATTTTTGCCCTGGTGGTGCTNATCAATTTTACGAAAAAAAGAAAAATGACAACAAAACAACAGGCATGGACACTCCGAACACACCAAAAAGCACCACCAGGGCAAAAATCACTGACTTTTACCTACCTGCAGGCAAAAACCATACAGCGACAACATAATGCATGTTAATATCGAAACAGCGAAGATGAACCTATTACCTGCTTCAAAAAATGGGCACCATGGCATATCTAGTAATTAATCATCGACGAAAATCACATTACCTAAGATAAATGAACATAAATTAGGGACAAATCTCGAACCAGACAGAACGAAAAATGACACTGAAGATGGCACAACGCCGAAACCGGTTTGTCTGCAAACCAAACTTGACAAGGGATGACGGAAATTCGTTCCAAAATAAATCATCTTACCACCCTGTCGGAAAAATCAACCAACACCAACACACATATAAATTAATCCTATTTTATTAAATTTGCAGCATTGAATATAAAAAATATATATATATATATAGGTAATACGCTCGATTATCAAAAATGGGGTATCAAATTAAAGGGCGCTTGACCATGATACAAATATTTAAAGGTAGTTTCACTTTTTCGTTTTATTCGCTATTGCTTCCATTTGACGTAAACGGTGCTTTTGAAATTTTCTTTTAAATTGAAGATTTTTTTTTTTAATATTTGAAAAAATTTATTTGGAGCATCATTTTATAGCGAGCTTTTAGTGATTTATTTCTAAAATTAGATATAAAACGGAAGGCAAGTAAAATACTCGTATTACATTATGTAATGCACATAGAGAATCTATATGTTTATGCAATTATTTTCATCATTAGCTGCTTGTTTTTGTAAACCAGCGACAAAAGAACGCTCAACTCGGGTAAAATTTCCTTTTCATTTACTTAAGCAACCCTGTTGGTATCTGGCAAGAAACATGTGATTAGTTTAACGGGATCTAGACACAAGAACAATAGGAATGAGTACTTATGCGAAGTATTGCGTAATACTTATTTAAAATATAAATCATGTATATACGAAAACAAAAATTTCCCTCTCCAACTTCCCATTAACAATTCAAAATAGAGGAGTTTTTTCTCTTACCAACAGCACCCTTCCGGTAGAAATTAGTAATTATGCGAGGTATTTGCGTAATATATATACTTATTTCAAATATAAATCATGTATATATAATGTAACCAACTATTTCATAAAGAAGTACAGGTTAGGTTGGGTCAACTTAACGCCGCGAGCCGATTACGAAATTTCGAATGCGGCTAATTTCGATCCCTGAGAGCTCAGTGTTTGTTTAAAAGTGCTGTCCGAAATGCTTCAATCTTAGCCTCGCGAATGTTGGACAGTCTAAAGAAAGTGTGGAGCAGCGTTGCCAGTTTGACGTTTTTAACGTCATTTGGACGTTTTTTTTATCCTGTTGACGTTTGGACGTTTTTTGTGTAAAAAATTACGTTTTTTAACTTCCCAGTAATTTTTCTCTGTTACTAAATCTTATAAGTAGAACTGGTTTTGAATTATTTTCTTAATAAATCTTTACAAGCTTTGTGTTTTGCAGCAGCTGCTTCAAAAAATATTTATTCCCTGGACACAGATGACTTAAATATGATACAAACCAAGTGAACGCGCATTTTTTTGGATTCTTGGACAAAGGCTGGTTGTGTAAACACTTGAGGTTACGAGACTAATTGTAATGTTTGCAATTGCACATTAAAAGCCAAATCAGGAAGAGCTGATCTATTGCAACACGCACGCTCGCAAAAGCATCAAAGCAGCATAAAAAGTCAGAAAAAAGTAGGCGACTTTTTTAAGACTTCATTGAAAATGTAATGATCGCAAAAAAGGCTGAAATATTGCTATGCTCCTTCTTAGTAGAACGTAAGTTAGCATTCTCGACAACCGACCCCCTAACTAAATGTGTACAAGATAAAAAAATTATTAAAATCAACGCGATTATGTAGCCCCTTTAAACTTGCACATTATTGCCCTGAAATTTAATGGGCTATCAAACTGCATATTAAAAAAAAAAATTTTTTAAATCTTAATAAAAGTTGAAAATATAGCTGAAACTTTGCAGATATTTTTTATAATTTTTGCACAAAGTTTCAAATATGGATTTATATTTTGTTTGTTATATAATGAGTTTGCCTTTTATGGAAAAATAATAAACATTAAATAAACAAAAGAAAAACAGCCAAAATCGATCAAAATATTGATGACTTAATCTGCTGATCACAAGTGTATGTATAAAATCATTTTTATATTAACGATCTCAAGCCACTTTACAATGAATTCTAATTGTACTCTGTCTAAATGACATTTTAACATACCTTACGTACATATGTACCTTTGTATACAATAACAGTTTTTTGTGCCGTGTTTATAAAGTGCCCTAAAACAAAATTTCTTTCAGCAGAGCATGTTCCGTCTCATGGGGATTGAACCCCGACAGCCTTTGTAGCAACCAATTGTATCAAGCATCTTTGTCATAGTTGCCAACTTGGTGCTTTGAGCACTAGATTTAGTGCATTTTTAAAATTAAAACGCCAAAAAAAATTATTTAGTGCCTAGTGCCTTTTTAGTGTTTTTTCTGAACTAAAATTACTTCGAGATAGTTAAAAATTGAAATAATTTGAAATATTTGAAACTGTCGCAGCACTGAATTTACAATAATCTACAAATTTAAATGGACTAAAATACAACCATGATTGATAAAAAGCTTAAGTTGCAAACTCAACTTGTTAAATTCTATTCGCGTTGAAAATGCTAGTACGCAAGTAAGTTAAGTATTTATTTTTTTCTTTTCTAATTACACTGGTCGACGGCCAAAATTTACCAGAGACGCCGTTATGAAATTCGTATGTAAAATCACCCCCTGATTCCGAAAATCAAGGTTATTTTTAATTTTATGGTACCGTTTTTGAGATATTTGCAATTTACCGTTTTTGCAAAAAAAATAAAAAATTGGGTCCACTTAATCATATATATCTCAAGAACGAATTAAGCAATTCCAAAACGGTTTGAAGCTTTTAAAAGGTAATA